CGAGCCTGATTTTCGAAGCTTTCGAAAAATTGCTCTGGTTCGGCCTCATTGAAGCGGGGAACAAGCTGTACTGCTTTTTGTAAACTAAAATCATTTTTCAGAATGCGAAAACTGCCTCCTTTCTCCTTCCCTATCAAATTCTTCCCTTGCGAATGCTCTCTGTTCCCTAGTTTGCTCAAGATTGATTTTTGCCAGCTCAAGTGCCAACGACTCTGATTCACCTTGAGACAACCCAGCTGCACTATACTGACCATTTTGCTCCGTAGGTGTATCTTCCTCCTGCGAGAAAAATAGGAGTTTTTGCCCTAGCTCCCGTAGAGGGAGGAGTCTGATTGTGCCATCTCTTCTTCTATAAGTTTGTCAGCAATCAGTGAACGCAGTTGCGCAGCTGTGAGAGTGCGTTTGTATGTAATGCCAATGGAACGAGCAATTTGCCAACAACGCTGTAGGGACAATTTAGGTAGGTTTATGCAAAGTATATGCCGACACCAGACGTCTGACTCGTCTAGGTGGCATAAGTTATTCGCTATGCACAGTAAGATTGCAGGATACCCCAACGTAACACGTTAATTTGCAGAACACGCTTAGCTATGCACAGTACGATTGCAGAATACGCATACAAGCAAAGCCAACTGCAAAATTCTCCACACCGAACAGGCTAGTAACAACTGACACGCAAAATTTGTAAAGCAATGCCAGAACAGCTACACTGTTCTAGAAGATTGACCGTAGCGAAGCGAGCACACCGAACAAGCTAGTAGCGAGCTGTTGAATGATCACACAATAGCAAGGCTGATCATAAAGCAACTGACACGCAAAATTTGTAAAGCAATGCCAGACAGCAAGCTGCACAATGTTCCTGCTACGAGCTTCACCCTAAACTCAACCGTTTCTCTAAGTCCAGCTCCAGCTCTCGGACAGGCTACCCATATTACAACCCAGGATTCCAAATGGCCTGTTATCCCGGGTGTAATGGCAGCAAAATAAACACAGTAGAAAAAGTTTAGACTTATATTATCCTTCACCAATTTAGAACAGCAATATGTACACTATGTACAGTGATAAGTATAGTGCACTCCACGGTAAGCAAGGCAGAAATAGAAGCCACAAGATAGCAGACCGTGCTTCAACCAGCTCTAGAATGGGAATGACAAGGGCAGACAGGAGAGCGGTACCCACATAACCTCTGCGATTCCCAAAAAACCATCTTCTTATTGGCTAGAACCTGGTCACTAGTTGAATGACGGGGCCCCATCATCAACTCTTAGCAACCTGGTTCGCTGGTTGGGGGAGATAGCCTGTAAATGAGGGTGTGTACATGCGGCGAATAAAGGTTACGTACTCTTTGCATGCCACATGTATCGTTCCAGCCCACGGTATTGTGCCTTTTTTTTTGTTATCTACCAACATATTACAACCACACATTTTTCAGAACTGGCAGCCTCGCCATGCATTACCACACTGTGTATGCCACTACGCATCTTAAATCTCTCAAAGCAGCCTTTGCTGGCCTTTAATTCACTAACATCAGCGCTTTTATTCAGGCATTTTCTATTCGAGATTGGTATGCAACTGCCTTGCCTTTTCACAAATTATCGACTGCATAACACTGTCTCCTGTTAATTGTTTTTGGTTTTATCCACTCTAACAACAAATTCTCAACATCTTCAAGTATTTGTGATCTCTTTTTGGTGAGCATATCTACCCCTTTCGCAACAACAGTTTCCTTGATTTTCCTTTTTCTTAGACATGATGGAAGTGATTGTTGAATGGGATTCCTGTACATCCTGCTGAGCTTGGCCACATGCACTCCACTTTCATATTTTCTGATGATTTCTTTCTTTAATTCTATCAGTTTCTCACCTTCTGCACCAAAGGGCTGGCACTAGAAGCTTTCTTTGGCCATGATGGCTTATTATAACGAAAATTGTTGGTAAGCTGAAAAGCAGGGTGTAAAAGATACGTCTTCGGGGGCTTCTTACTTTATTGTTAAGTCGTGGTGGGTACACAGGCTTGTGTGTTTGTGCCCATGGCCCGGGCAGGCCATCCCACGAGAGAGAGCTATGGGAGTATGTGTCTTGCTGCTAGGCTGCTGTGTGAGTGAGAGCGAGGCAAGGGCAGGCAGGCTGAAGTGGCAACACCTATAGGTGGCAGCACCAGCATGGTGCGAAATATGAACTAAGCTGGCAGACAGCATAGGCTGTCTGTGCAGACAGTACAGGCTGTCTACATACGCTCGGCCACCTACAGCACGTCGTCCCGACGCGACAATACTGGTGGTAAAAGAAACTCGGTCTCTCTCTCGTAGGAACAGGGCACAGAACACAAAATAAAAACATATAAAATACATATGAACAGGGAAAAAAAAAACCTTCCTCGGGGAGGGAAAAAAAAAAAACTTGTGGGGTGTGCTAAACATCGGGGGTCAAAGGCGTGGGGCATCGATGGGCAACACGCACGCCTTCCTGCGTTGGGCAAATACTGCAACAGGGAGACATTGCTGCGGCCCCCAAAGGGGAAGTAAAGGTTACGGGCTCCCCTTTGGGAAGGGGGAAGGGAGTCATCGTAGGAGTGCTGCAGGTTTTCCCCTCCCAAACCCGGGGCACGACAAGCTGGTCCCCCCCGAGTTTAGGGTCGACAAAACTCGGCAATTGGGCAGGAAATTCCCTTTGGGAAGCGACTCAGGGAAACAAATTCTGGGGAATGGTTTCGTCGCTGGGCTGTTTACGCCGGGAGTGTGGAAACGGTCGTGGGAGAGACGCGGGCGAAACATCTGGGAGTCGTAAAATCATTTCACAAATGCCGTGAGAAAAAGGCCCCGCCCGTCAAAGTGACTTCCCTTTTTTGTGCAGGTGCTCACTGAAGCTTGTGACACGAGGCCGCACAGCGCCGCCCCACAGGGGACTGCGGCCTTTACGAAATATCTTTCTCTCGACATTGGGTTATAGCAGAGGTTAATTTTAAAAAACGACCCCCGACTTTTTTCTCTACATATAAAAAGCACTTGGACGGTCTGGAAAGGGGAAGTGAAACAAACTCGGGTTTGGGGGCGGAAACAGGTACGATTCCCGCAAACACCAGCGACGAGCATAAAAGCTTTCTGTTCAAGAGGGCTCGGTCACTCGGGGACTGACTTGACATCAGCTGTCAAACGTACTGGTCACATCGGGTGACTTAGCACAGTGGTGCTACTCAGGTCTGGCTCAGACCTCACTGGGCACACGGAATCTTTAAACACACCGCGGTACATGCGGTACAACATGGCTTAAACTAGCAAATGATGCTTTTCTGTGCATAAAACTGACACTAAGACATATACTAAAATGTGAGAACACTGACTGAGAGGAATTAACACACGACATATATCTTCTCTTAGTCTTCTCGACAATATTTTAATAATTACTGAACACTCGATGGTGACATCATGTGATGTCAGGCGTGATGACATCAGCAGCACTGTGATGTCAGCAGACATCTCGAGGTGAAGTCGGCCAGCATCGTGGGTGACGTTGATGTGATGCGGGCAGCAGACCACAGCATGTGGCCTGGGACATCTGGTAACTCACGTGGCTGGTACATCCACGTGACATCGCCCACACCCACGTGGCGTCGTGATCCACATGGCGTCATGATCCACGTGGCATGCTGATCTAGGTTAGGTGGCATGCTGATCTACGTGGCTTGCTGATCTACGTGGCATGCTGATCCACGTAGCTTCGAGTGGCCTCGGGCACTCGGATACACAGCTCTGGCAATGAATCACATGAAAAACAGCAGAAAACACAGCAGAGGGAGTGGGCAGTGGTGAGTGGTGTATGGTAGGCTGATGAGGTGTGAGAGTACAGCAGGGCGAGGCAAGGAGCTGCCACTTCCTCCTCCCACAAGCACGTGGAGAACTCACACTGGACACAGAAATTGCCACAAAACTCACCTCTGGCTTGCTGAAACAGCTGTGCTGAGCTGAACAACAACAGCAACATGCAAGTGACGCTGAACACGTGACTTGAGAAACAGCGTGGGACGCTGTAGCGTGGGGTCACTTACAATTCTCGGAGAATTTCGGCAAATTTCGGCCTGGATCCTGCTTGTACCTGTGTCTGGATGCTCAAACGTGCAGACATGACATCAGGATAACTCCTTGAGAGACGGATGCTTCTTGTATAGGGTGATGACGTGAAGATGACTTCATACCTCTTCCTTCCTCTCTCTGGGCAAACAACTGCTGCAACCACCGCTTTCTGTCATTTATACCGAGATTGTTTGGTAGAGCTGAAAGCGGGGTGTAAAAGATACGTCTTCGGAGGCTTCTTACTTTATTGTTAAGTCATGGTGGGTACACAGGCTTGTGTGTTTGTGCCCATGGCCCGGGCAGGGCCATCGCACGAGAGAGCTAGGGAGTACTTGTGTCTTGCTGCTAGGCCGCTGTGTGAGTGAGAGCGAGGCAAGAGCAGGCAGGCTGAAGTGGCAACGCCTATAGATGGCAGCACCAGCATGGCGCGAAATATGAACTAAGCTGGCAGACAGCATAGGCTGTCTGTGCAGACAGTACAGGCTGTCTACATTATTTAGCAGTTTCAAGTACCAAAAACATTGGATTATTATAAAATGTATTGTATGAATGCATGGGGTTATGGTCATTCTCTCAGAAACAATGCCACAATGATTCCTGAATTGTGTGGGAGCCTTTGTGTACTCCTGGCCGCACGGACGCGTTCCATATGACAGATGAATTGCGAGGCAAATCACGAACCGCGAGGCTTTATTTTGACGAAAAAAGTTGCTGAAAGTCGAAATTCATGAAGTGCAAGGCTCACCAAACTCGGGTCCACTGTATGTAGTTTATGGTGGATAAAATGTTTTCTAAATAACGTCGTCAACCACATATATTGTCTCTTGCCCACAAGTGTTATTTCCAAAGTGAACTGACCACCATTTCTGAAAACAGTATTATTATAGTAGAAGTTTTACAGAAGATTCTCATTCATGTTTTTCTTTTACAGTTTGTGCTGACACTGTCAGTACAGCAGTGACTCTCAGTGTTACCCAACTCAAATAAATGTCAGCAACACTGAGGATAGCTACTGTCAGCAGCAAGTTTAATGGAACACTGTCAGACTATTGACTGAAGTTTCCTTGATGCCAGAGACTAGCTTTTGATCCAAGAACTAGAGCCTGACTTCTCCTTCCTTGGATCAGTGGTGATTTCTCCTCAAGGTGACGTACAACTCCTTGGGGTTTAGTGTTCCATCCTCCCCTGAGTATATCAAGAATGTAATACATTCTCAGATAAAATATATATTACTAAGTTACACTATCTTGAGTACACATGTACTTTTAAGTGTGTTTTAATACACACTGTACTTATCCAAGCTTCTCATGTACATAGTTATCAACTCATGTAGTACAATAATCAGCCTTGCATGAAGGTCGATGTTATTATGAATAAGTTGGAAATTTCTCTTGTAAATTAAGGGCAGCATCATAAGAGCAGAATAGGGATTTATTAAGAATGTAAAAATGTTGGAATGAATTAGACACAACTCTTCATAAGTTGTACAGTGTGTGTTGCAGTTTGTATTGAACATTGTGTGTTGCAGTTTGTATTGAACATTGTGTGTTGCAGTTTGTATTGAACATTGTGTGTTGCAGTTTGTATTGAACATTGTGTGTTGCAGTTAGTGTTGAACATTGTGTGTTGCAGTTAGTATTGAACATTGTGTGCTGCAGTTAGTATTGAACATTGTGTGTTGCAGTTAGTATTGAACATTGTGTGCTGCAGTTAGTATTGAACATTGTGTGCTGCAGTTAGTATTGAACATTGTGTGCTGCAGTTAGTATTGAACATTGTGTGCTGCAGTTAGTATTGAACATTGTGTGCTGCAGTTAGTATTGAACATTGTGTGCTGCAGTTAGTATTCAACATTGTGTGCTGCAGTTAGTATTGAACATTGTGTGCTGCAGTTAGTATTGAACATTGTGTGCTGCAGTTAGTATTGAACATTGTGTGTTGCAGTTAGTATTGAACATTGTGTGCTGCAGTTAGTATTGAACATTGTGTGTTGCAGTTAGTATTGAACATTGTGTGCTGCAGTTAGTATTGAACATTGTGTGCTGCAGTTAGTATTGAACATTGTGTGTTGCAGTTAGTATTTAACTGAGCTACTCTAGGTAAATCCCTAGTCTTGAACTGTTCTTTAGAATTAGTGTAACCAAGAGTGTGTTAGAGTGTACACATTATATCTCATGTTCAATACTGTAAATGACCAGTTAAAACACTCGTTATAAATGCCAGTTTGCCTTTTTTACAGAATTCTCAGTTTTTTCCCTTCATGGAAATATTAGTCATAATCTTACCCCTGCTATGAAAATATTAGCTATAATATTATCCCTACTTTTGAAATATTATTCGTAGTATTATTACTACTTATGGCTTTTAGATATATTCATTAATCTTATTTTATTTCCTGATATTTTCCTCATTTACAGTACTTTAGAATTTTTTGTTTTGTCATAAGAGTTAATATTTATGTATTTGTTTATTTTACTAATAATCATGATAATAAAACTTGAACTTGAAAAAGTTTGTTGATGCAAACTTTACTGACTACAGTGTATTGTCTTTATATTCAACTTTACTGACTACAGTGTATTGTCTTTATATTCAACTTTACTGACTACAGTGTATTGTCTTTATATTCAACTTTACTGACTACAGTGTATTGTCTTTATATTCAACTTTACTGACTACATTATATTACTTTATTTTCAACTTTTTAAAACTGTGTTATTTTTATTTCTATTTGATTTATATTTATAAAGTTGAATATTGATACACATATATTGGTGAAATTAGAATTAAGTGTTGAATATGTAACATAATTTGATGTTATGTGAGTTTCACTAACTCCCATTTAAACAATAACTTCCTAGCACCATTTAAACAATAACTTCCTAGCACCATTTAAACAATAACTTCCTAGCACCATTTAAACAATAACTTCCTAGCACCATTTAAACAATAACTTCCTAGCACCATTTAAACAATAACTTCCTAGCACCATTTAAACATAACTTCCTAGCACCATTTAAACAATAACCTAGCAACATTTAAACAATAACCTCCTAGCACCATTTAAACACTAACTTCCTAGCACCATTTAAACAATAACTTCCTAGCACCATTTAAACAATAACTTCCTAGCACCATTTAAACAATAACCTAGCAACATTTAAACAATAACCTCCTAGCACCATTTAAACAATAACCTCCTTGCACCATTTAAACAATAACTTCCTAGCACCATTTAAACAATAACCTCCTAGCACCATTTAAACAATAACCTCCTAGCACCATTTAAACAATAACCTCCTAGCACCATTTAAACAATAACTTCCTAACACCATTTAAACAATAACCTCCTAGCACCATTTAAACAATAACCTCCTAGCACCATTTAAACAATAACCTCCTAGCACCATTTAAACAATAACTTCCTAGCACCATTTAAACAATAACCTCCTAGCACCATTTAAACAATAACCTCCTAGCACCATTTAAACAATAACTTCCTAGCACCATTTAAACAATAACCTCCTAGCACCATTTAAACAATAACCTCCTAGCACCATTTAAACAATAACTTCCTAACACCATTTAAACAATAACCTCCTTGCACCATTTAAACAATAACCTCCTAGCACTATTTAAACAATAACCTCCTAGCACCATTTAAACAATAACCTCCTAGCACCATTTAAACAATAACCTCCTAGCACCATTTAAACAATAACTTCCTAGCACCATTTAAACAATAACCTCCTAGCATCCACTTAAACAGTAACCTTTCCTAGCATCACTTAAGTTAATAACCTCCCTAGCATGCACTTAAACAATAACCTCCCCTAGTATCCATCTAAACAAGTACATGACCTGGTGTAGCACCTACTTAAACAAGTGCATGACCTAGTGTACCACCTACTTAAACAGGTTAATGACCTATCTTAGCACCCACTTGAAGAAACATTTTTGTTCTTTAAACAACTATAGCTAAGCACATTGGAAAGTTATTATATTATTCAATAAGATTTAAAATAAAAGCAACTGAAGTACATTGTAATAGTTGCTTTTGTTAGTGAATACAAACCCTCTTAATTCTTTAATATTTACACATTAATGTGTTGTTTACAAGAGTTCATTAGGAAAGAATTTCCTGTCAGTCGCTTAATTATTTTTTTGGAAAAGTCTTCATTAAGAGAATACATTAAATGTGAAGCAGTGTACTCTAGAAATGAATGCTCAAAAATTTCAGAGTAATGTAGTGTTGTCTATGTGAATGTCTTAATTTGATAAAAATAAATCTATTGACTTTGACAAAAATATTAAAGTATTTGTTATAGATCTATTTCGTGTTTAAAACTTGAAATAAAATATAGCAGACATGAGTGTTCATGCAGCCAAGAAATTGTTTCAATGTCAGTTTTGTCAAAAAGTGCTTCCATGTAATTCTAAATTCTTGAGACACCTTAGAAGTCACACAGGGGAGAAGCCATATCATTGTTCAATTTGCCAGAAAGACTTTATTGAGATAACCTTATTAAAACAACATCAGAGGATTCATACTGGAGAGAAACCATACCAGTGTCCACAATGTCTTAAAAACTTCAACTATATAGCCTCACTTAAACAACATCAGAGAATTCATACTGGAGAAAAACCATTTCAGTGTTTAATATGTCAAAATAACTTTAAACAGAGAGGTCATCTTAGCACACACATGAGAATTCATACAGGAGAGAAACCATACCAATGTTCATTGTGTCCAAAAAAGTTTACCACCAAAACTTCTCTAGTGAAACACACATACAGTCATACTGGAGAGAAACCATACCAATGCTCAGAGTGTCCAAAAGCATACTCAAAACAATGTGCTCTGGTTGCTCATTCAGCAATCCACACAGGACATAGACCATTCAAGTGTTCAGAGTGTCAGAAAGATTTCTCAGCAAAATCAAGATTAGCAAAACATATAAAAACTCACACTAAAGAGAGACGATATAATTGCTCAGTGTGTTCAGAAAGGTTTTCAAGAAAATTGTGTTTAGAAAAACACATGAAAACTCATGCTGGGCACCAGTATCGATGTTCAAGGTGTCTAGAAAGTTTCTTGAATAAGACTAACCTAGTAGATCACATGAGGACTCATATACAAGAAGGAATAAATATTAATGATTAGTGTCCAAAAATCTTTAAATAAAATTGTATCTTGTTAAACTTATGATGATTCTGGCTTTGGCTAAAAGCCCAAGTATTGTAGTTTGAAATGTTATTTGTGTAGTTTGAAGGGTTATTGGTGTAGTTTGAAGGGTCATTTGTGCAGTTTGAAGGGTTATTGGTGTGTTTGAAGGGACATTGGCAGTTTGAAAGGTTATTGGTGAATTTGAAGGGACATTCTCAAATTATGATGACTATGCATTAATGACAAAGCAGCTTTTTAATGTATAGTTGTGATTTTTATTGTTTTTGTCACCCTGCCTGGGTAGGGGAGAGCTGGTGGGCTCAAGAAACAATGTATCAGGTTTGGCCCATGTGTTAAAAGATGATGTAACAAGAATAAACTAACAATAAAGTAGACTAAAGTTGGTTGAGTGTTTTTTAATTGTAATGATAACAAAGTAGACTAACCTTATAGTTATGCAAAAATGCAAGTTTGTTTATTCCTACCAAATTACAAATGAATGAAGTCATTGATTGTTTGAATTTAGAACATTGGCTAGTGAAAGAAATACAGGTTGGCCATCACTAATCCAGCAATCAGTTATCCGGTTCCATCAGTAATCCGGCACTAATTTTGGCTAGCATAATTTCAAATTTCATCATTTCATCATTATACTGACTCAAATCATTATACTGATTCGAATTTCATCGTTATATTGGCTCAGAAGTTGTGCAGATGGTTGTAAATCCACAACAGCAAGCCAGAGGAGGAGAAAGCAGTGATGAAAATGAGGAAGATGTAGCAGAGTCTCTATTAATAGGTTAATCAAGTGTATTCTAACCTAAGCACTCTGAAATGCAGCAAACTCAATAATCTGGCACACTACAGGTCCCAGTGATGCCAGATTATGGCTGACCTGTAACTGCAGTTATTAGAGGTATTGATCCATTTAGGCGGTGCATTTTAAAGTAATGAAGGGCTCTTTATCCACGAACTTTATATCTTTGTGTAGTACAGTGGAACCTTGGTACTCGAACAATTCGGTATTTAAATGCTTTGTTTAGTAAACAGATCGCTCGGTAGTCGACCGTTTGCTAGGCACTCAACCAAACAAACATCCCTGCCAGAACTTAACTGTAAACTATTTCATGTTTCTTTGCAATTTTTGGTGTTTTTCCATATTTGTATAAATAAGTCACCATTGGGCCTAAGAGGGTTCGGATAACAGCCAGCCAAAAAGGAAAGTGGTTGGGGAAATTTGTTCTGTACTCAAACACATCAACACTCGAACGGCCTTCTGGAACCAATTAAGTTTGAGTGCCGAGGTTTCACTGTATACAAAGTGTAGAAATCTTTCTTCTCTCACAAAAAACTGGCCATATCCTGCCGAGGCATGGTAGCCCAAAATGAAAAGCGAAAGTTTCTCTTTTTAACTTTTGTAATGTATACAGGAGAAAAGGTTACTAGCCCCTTGCTGCTGGCATTTTAGTCGCCTCTCACAACACACATGGCTTACACAGGAAGAATTCTGTTTCACTTCCCCATGGAGATAAGAGGAAATAAACAAGAACAAGAACTAGTAAGAAAATGGAAAAAACCCTGAGGGGTGTGTGTATGTGTATCTTTTCTTTCTTTCAACACACCGGCCGTATCCCACCGAGGTGGGGTGGCCCAAAAGGAAAAACGAAAGTTTCTTCTTTTACATTTAGTATTATATACAGGAGAAGAGGTTTACTAGCCCCTTGCTCCCAGCATTTTAGTCGCCTCCTACAACACACATGGCTTACAGAGGAAGAATTCTGTTCCACTTCCCCATGGAAAACATATACATACATACATACATATATATATATATATATATATATATATATATATATATATATATATATTTTATATATATATATTATATATATATATATATATAATTATTATATATGCAAAACAACCACTCTGAAAGAATAGAGAAATTCCAAGCGCTTTCGTGACTACTCACATTATCAAGGATAATGTGAGTAGTCACGAAAAGCGCTTGGAATTTCTCTATTCTTTCAGAGTGGTTGTTTTGCATATTTTGAAATCACCTGTTTACTGTGATCTTATTGCATTATATATATAAAATATATATTATATATATTTATATATTATATATATATATATATTATAAAATATATATATATATATACATGTATATATATATATTACATGTATATATATATATACATGTATATATATATATACATGTATATATATATATATATACATACATGTTATATTATATATATATATATATATATATTATATATATATATATATATATATAATATTATATATATTTTATCTTTCTTCTTTCAACGTACCAGCCGTATCCACTGAGGTGGGGTGGCCCAAAAGAAAAAACTGAAGTTTCTCCTTTTAAATTTAGTAATATACAGGAGAAGGGGTTACTAGCCCCTTGCTCCGGCATTTTAGTCGCCTCTTACGACACACATGGCTTATAGAGGAAGAATTCTGTTCCACTTCCCCATGGAGATAAGAGGAAATAAACAAGAACAAGAATTAGAAAGAAAATAGAAGAAAACCCAGAGGGGTGTGTATATATATGCTTGTACATGTATGTGTAGTGTGGACCCAAGTGTAAGTAGAAGTAGCAAGACATACCTGTAATCTTGCATATTTATGAGACAGACAAAAGACACCAGCAATCCTACCATCATGTAAAACAATTACAGGCTTTCGTTTTACACTCACTTGGCAGGACGGTAGTACCTCCCCGGGCGGTTGCTGTCTACCAACCTACTACCTACATATATATATATATATTATATATATATATATATATATATATATATATATATATATCTTTCTTTTCTTTCTTTCTTTCAACACACCAGCCGTATCCCACCGAGGCAGGGTGGCCCAAAAGGAAAAACAAAAGTTTCTCCTTTTACATTTAGTAATATATACAGGAGAAGGGGTTACTAGCCTCTTGCTCCCGGCATTTTAGTCGCCTCTTACAACACACATGGCTTACGGAGGAAGAATTCTGTTCCACTTCCCCATGGAGAACATACACATATACATACATACATATATATATATATATTATATATATATATATATATATATATATATATATATATATATATATATATATATATATATATATATATATAATATATATATAATATATATATATATATTATAATATATATATATATACAGTGGACCCCCGCATAACGATGGCATCACATAGCGATTTTTCCGCATACCGATTACTTTTATCGCAAAATTTTTGCCGCGCATACCGATTAAAAACCCGCTTACCGATTTTCGTCCGAGACGCGTCCAATGTGCCCTCACATGTGCCGGCCGTCCCATTGTTTACCAGCCAGCCTCCGCGGTAACATCCAAGCATACACTCGGAATATTTCGTATTATTACAGTGTTTTCGGTGCTGTTTCTGGAAAATAAGTGACCATGGCCCCAAGAAAGCTTCTAGTGCCAACCCTGTGGTAAAAAGGGTGAGAATTAGTATGGAAATTAAGAAAGATTTTGAAGGGTTTGGGGCTAACCCTGAGAAGCCTATGCCAGTTGTGGAATCCATTGTGCCTACTTCAAAGATTAAGGAAATGTGTGCACAGTGGGTTGAACTGCAAACCTTTATAGATGAAAATCACCCTGACACAGCTGTTGCAAGCCGTGCTGGTGACTATTTCAATGACAATGTTATGGCCCATTTTAGGAAAGTCTTGAAGGAACGGGAGGTACAGAGCTCTATGGACAGATTTGTTGTGCGACAGAGGTCCAGTGACTCTCAAGCTGGTCCTAGTGGCATTAAAAGAAGAAGGGAAGTAACCCCAGAAAAGGACTTGCTACCTCAAGTCCTAATGGAAGGGGATTCCCCTTCTAAACAGTAAGAAGATAATGCTCTCCCCTCCTCCCATCCCATCAATCATCACCAGATCTTCAATAAAAGTAAGTGTCATTTAATTGTGCATGCCTTTTTCAGTTTGTGTGTATTAAAATTAACATTTCATGTGGTAAAAAAAATTTTTTTTCATACTTTTGGGCGTCTTGCACGGATTAATTTTATTTCCATTATTTCTTATGGGGAAAATTCATTCGCATAACGATTATTTCGCATAACGATGAGCCCTCTTGCACGGATTAAAATCGTTAACCGGGGGTCCACTGTATATATATATATAATATAATATAATATATATATATAATATATATATATATATTATATATATATATATATAATATATATATATATATATATATATATACATACATACATACATACATACATACATACATACAGTGGACCCTCGCCTAACGAACACATCGCATAACGTTAAATTCGCTTAACGATACTTTTAACGCTAACATTTTGCCTCGGCTAACTCTAAAAAACTCGCCTAACGATATTCGTTCTCGGGTACCAATTAATATCGTTAGGTGAGGGTCCACTGTGTGTATATATATATATATATATATATATATATAATATATATATATATATATATATATATATATATATATATATATATATATATATATATATATATATATATATATATATTTTTTTTTTTTTTTTTAACAAGTCTGCCATCTCCCACTGAGGCAGGGTGACCCAAAAAAGAAAAACTTTCACCATCATTTACTCCATCACTGTCTTGCCAGAAGGGTGCTTTACACTACAGTTTTTAAACTGCAACATTAACACCCCTCCTTCAGAGTGCAGGCACTGTATTTCCCATCTCCAGGACTCAAGTCCGGCCTGCCGGTTTCCCTGAATCCCTTCATAAATGTTACTTTGCTCACTCTCCAACAGCACGTCAAGTATTAAAAACCATTTGTCTCCATTCACTCCTATCAAACACGCTCACGCATGCCTGCTGGAAGTCCAAGCCCCTCGCACACAAAACCTCCTTTACCCCCTCCCTCCAACCTTTCCTAGGCCGACCCCTACCCCGCCTTCCTTCCACTACAGACTGATACACTCTTGAAGTCATTCTGTTTCGCTCCATTCTCTCTACATGTCCGAACCACCTCAACAACCCTTCCTCAGCCCTCTGGACAACAGTTTTGGTAATCCCGCACCTCCTCCTAACTTCCAAACTACGAATTCTCTGCATTATATTCACACCACACATTGCCCTCAGACATGACATCTCCACTGCCTCAGTCTTCTCCTCGCTGCAACATTCATCACCCACGCTTCACACCCATATAAGAGCGTTGGTAAAACTATACTCTCATACATTCCCCTCTTTGCCTCCAAGGACAAAGTTCTTTCTCTCCACAGACTCCTAAGTGCACCACTCACTCTTTTTCCCTCATCAATTCTATGATTCACCTCATCTTTCATAGACCCATCCGCTGACACGTCCACTCCCAAATATCTGAATACGTTCAC